ATATAGGACTTTGTCCTATTCACTTAAAGAAAATAAAAACACTTTAAAATGATTTTCTTCTTATAAGTGTAAAAATATAAAATCAAAGACAACAAAAATAAACAATAGAAAAGTTTTTTTTTTACCAGGGTGACCCCTACATCTCTTTTGCAGTTGTTTTATATTTTTTTATTTTTTGTCTTTGTGTTTGGGAGTTCTTTTTTCCTTTTTTCAAAAACAGGAAAAGATTAAAAGAAATCAGACCTGGCTCAGCAGCACAATTGCTGTTTTACAGCAGGTTCCTGTTCTGCAGAATACGAAAAACACACAGATATCCAACATCACGTCACATTATTATACACTATAGACCAGTGGTTCCCAAAGATGGAGTCAGGACCCACAGTGGGGTCCTGAAACATCAAGGTGGAGACTTAAAAATATTTTCTGAATTAATTACATTAAAAAAATGTCAACTAAGAACATTTTTTGCCTTTGTTGTCAAAAAATAACAAGATTAGTGTACTTGAAATGCATAAAAATTGCGTAATAAATAATGTTACCATGCTCTTGTTTATGTGACGTGAAAACAATGTTTATCAACCAACAACAGCTGGGGGCTCAGGTCTCTGCTGCTGGTATTTTATGAGTCAAAAGCTGAAAAGTTTGGGAACCAGTGACCACTGCTACAAACACACAGACCGTGGCTACAACTATTAATCTAAATTAGATTAATCTTTTATTACCTTATTATGCATTTAATAATACATGATAACAACTAGAACTTTAAAAAACATTCTTACTTTCCAACAAAAAAATTACACACTAGTTTTTTTTTTCTCAGCGCAGCTATCATTGAGGATGAGAACGTTTATATTTAACTTCCTTTTGAACTTTTAAAGACACATTTCACTTCGTAGCTTTAAAAGTAGTTCTTTATTTTCACACCTTGTTTAAACAGATGAACCATGTTTTTTCTCCTCCACAGACCGCAGAGAGACAAACTCCAGAGGGCAGTTTGAGTCCAGAAACCAGCAGCGTAAATCAGTCCAGGACCACCCAAGAAAACCAGCCACCTGACTGCGATTCCAGTCAAACCCAGCTTCTTGGTATCCAATCAGACGGTCCTCTGACTGGCTCTGTCTCAGGACCAGTGGCTCCCCTGGCCTCAGAACCAGACCAGGACAAACCACAGAATGGGACAACACAAGGTAGACCCTCTGTTCTCACAGCAGCACTTTTATCTGTAAAAGTACCATACTTTGGTTGAACCTGAACACAAACAGTATGTGATGAGATGAACACTCAGGAGGAGGAGTCAGGAGGTCAGATTGGGGGCGTGTCTGTGGATAGGTGTGGTATAAACTGTAAGACCTGCCCAGTCAGATAATTTATATCTTCTGGTTTTTTTCTTCCTTGGCACTTAACTTTTTATAAATAAATAAACTAATAAAGAAATTTTGAGGCTACCAAATATACTCACTGAATTTAAACCCCTACAACCTCAAGTTCACGTTCAAGAATCTTTATAATCCCCGAGGGGTCATTTGTTGTACAGCCAATAGAGTAAAAACAACTAAACAAAAACATTCATACACAAAAATCACAAATGTTCGTTAAGGAATTTAACTGCTGCTGGGATAAATGGGCCTCATGCAAGAACATGTTCGTATTCTTATCCTAAATTTCTCTTACTTTTGTTCGTACAAAGGGTTCGTACGAACATGTCACGTCAGATTCAACAAACTCTTCTATCTTCAGGAAAAGTGTGTAAATGAGCTGCGTAAATTCCACCTGTTCGTATCCAGCTGCTCGTGCACGCGAGAGGAGATTAGCATAATTACCACCCCAAAAACACCATATAAGGCTGTGTTTCCTGCCTCAGATACAAGGAAGTGTCCATTCATGAAAATGACAGTGAAAATTAAAAAGAAGAACTTTACGAGTTCAGAGATTGAAGTCCGTCTGTCAGAGATCCAGAAAAGAAAATCTGTCTTTTTAGCAGCTCAGCTGTGGAATAAAAAGAGCTGCTAAAAGTATAAACAACTGTGTTAAATCATTTTCATTTATTCAGAAGACACAGCGCTGCGCACCGTACCCCCACCCCCCACCCCCGCGGTCACAGGTGGTCTTAGTTGTGGTTCTGAAATAAGCATTTTAAAATGTTTTCAGAATAAGTCTGGTACTTTGGAGAAAATCAAGGACTTGCTGGAGGGTATATGTATCCCCTCTGGCCTGGGAACGTCTCGGAGTCCCACAGGACGAGCTGGAAAGTGTCACTGGGGAGAGCGGGGTCTCCTGCTGCCCCCATGACCCGATCATGGATAAGCGGCAGAAAACGGATGGACGGACAATTTATATTGTTGTTAGTCTAAATTAATACATTTAAAATTATAACTCTAATTCAAGAAGAATAGCCTACTGTCAACATAATTATGGAGTGTGATTTATTTTCAACTCAAAATATCTTCAAACTAATGAAATATAAAGTTATTAGTGAAGAAAACCCGTCTGGATAACAGCAGACTGACTGCTCGTAAAATATACGACAGGTCTGGACCACTCGTGAATTTTGTTCATATTTGAAAAAAATCTTAGAATACGAAAACATTGGTGAATGCCACAAATTCTCCTAAATCACTCGTACGCACAATTTAAGAACAAATCTGTGCGTACGAACGGTTCTTGCATGAGGCCCAATGAGTTTTTAAATCTGTTTGTCCTACATTTGGTCGACTGGTATCTGCGTCCAGACGGGAGCAGCCTGAACTCACCATGGAGTGGGTGGTCAGGGTCTGCCAGAATAAATCTGGCCTTTTTCACTGACCTGACCTTGTGTAGGTCAGTGAGATTCTGCAGGTCAATTCCAGCAATTCTGCAGCACATCTTAACAATCCCCAAGAGTTTGTTTTTGTTCTTACATGTTAAAATGCCATACCAACAGATAAAAGTAAAGGTTAAAAGAGACTCAATAAAACACAAATAAAACATTCTCATAAAAGTAGAATCGACATTAAAACCACAGAGCTTCTGATAAAAATACATCCTCTGATGGGCCTTCTTACAAAGTGAGTTAACGTGGGCATCAAAGTTCAGTTTGTCATTCAAAACAGTTCCCAGGTATTTATATTGGTGTACCACCTCCACAGCTTCACCATTAATAATCACAGGAGTGGCAACCAAAGAGTCTTTTCTAAAATCAATGACCATCTCCTTAGTCTTTGAGACATTTAGCTGTAAAAAAGACGATTGACACCATTCAGTGAAGTCTCTGACCCCCGGCCCATGGTCAGGGTCATCACTGCTGAGAAGAGACAGGATGACAGAATCATCAGCAAACTTTAAAATATGACGATGTGGATACTGGCTGCGACAGTCATTTGTTTACAAAATAAATAAAAGAGGTGAAAGAACGCAGCCTTGAGGGGAGCCTGTAGAAGTGTTCATGTTTTCTGTGAACTGACGGCACATTACAGATTAATTATATCCAATATCTTTTTAACTATTTAAATGGCTGCTGTGTCTGAAGCTGTTCCGTTGCTCTAACTGGAGGTTGTGTTTGTAAGAACTGCTGAGGTGCAGTTTGTCCCTATAGACCTGTGGTTCTCAGTGTTGGGATCAGGACAAAGATTCTCCACTGAGCTCGATGGCTCAGTTGGTAGAGCTGATGCCTCTCAGCAAAAAAGTTGCCGGTTCAAATCCTGGCCCGGGGACCTTTCTGGGTAGAGTTTGCATGTTCTCTCCGTGCATGTGTGGGTTCTCTCTGGGCACTCCGGCTTCCTCCCACAGACCAAAAACATGACTTTTAGGTTAATCGATAAGTCTAAATTGTCCCTAGGTGTGAGTGAGAGAGTGAATGGTTGTTTGTCTCTGTGTGAACCTGTGATGGACTTTGAGAGTCTGCATCAAGGGCGTATAAAATAAATATATATAAAAATATACCCAGAATAAGATTCATAATCTAATATTTTATTTCTAGTGTGTGAGGTAGCTAATACTACATGTTTGGTCTGACCAAAACATGCTAGATTTTTTAAACAAACTAATAGTTCATGTTTAAAGTACCCACATAGTAAAAAATCAGTTAATTTAATACATCAGCACAGACTTTACTAACGCAAATAAAACATTCCTCTCATTAATGATGCAAAACAAACTCAATCTTTTGAAGTAATATAAGATAATAAATAATAAAAATTAACCTGTTATTAACTTTATTTGAATAAGGAAGCACTTTTATTAATTTACTGTTATTTAACCAGGCAAATCCCACTGAGATCACAGATCTATATTTCAAGGGCAGCCTGGGCCTGAAGGCAACATGTTATACATATATTTGTGCTGTGGGGGAAACCGGAGTACCCAGAGAAAACCCACGCAAGCAGGAGGACAACATGCAAATTCCACATGGACCCCAGGTCTGAACCCAGGACCGTCTTGCTGTGAGGCATCAGTGCGAACCACTGATCCATCGGGCTGCCCAAATCAAACATTTGTTCAAAGTCTCTGAATTTGGTTCAACAAATCTGAGCTGATAATCTGTCCGACTGAATTGTAACCATTTTTGTGTTTTCTGAGGTCAGTTTGCTGTGGCAGCCACTTTGATTAGTTTCATTTAAATCCATGCGTGGGTCCCTGAGATACTTTGCTAACAGACAACCAGAGTTACCTCCAAATACAACATTTACTGGCAGTTTTTGATGTTAAGTGGTGTATGAATAATTTTTCTCTGTTTTCTGAGATATTTTAAAGATAAATTTAGGTAAATATCAAGGCTCATGTTTGGTTTAATGTGATATTTTCAGTTTCTCAGTTTCCCGCTGCTGCAGAGCCACTTCCTGTAGGGTCTCCGCGCACCGAGCGCAGCTGGAAGCCGCAGGTGGAGAAACCCCGTCGCTCCGGTGTAGACAGCGACAGGAAGCAGAATCAGGACCGGGTCAAGGTTTTTCCTCCGTTCAGCGGGTCAGTGAGTCATATGAGGCTCCTTACAGTCTGACAAGTAAAACCAACTGATCGTATGTTTGATTGTGTTTCCTCAGGTCACGTGAGGTCACGTCAGGAAAGTCACAGGTGACCCACAGCTCCACAGAACCTGCTGGTGCTCAGGTACAGACTCACACTGAGTAACTTATATTCTTTGAACTATTTCCTTTTTTGATTTTATGTTTCATTTAGAACTCTTCAAAGAGTTGAAAAATATCTTTAAATCTACTTCAGCATTCCTGCTTCATTTTTAGCTTCTGCTGTGTAAGTCATGGCTTTTAGCTGTGGATTTGCTCATTTTAGTTTTAGCCACTGATTTGCAAACTGCCATTCTGCTAATTTTACCCTTTAGCTCCTGTTTTGTTGCTTCTCTGTTTAGGTTTTTATTATGCACTGTGACTGCTGTTGTGTTTTTTTTGACTAACTGTACAGCACTTTGGTCCTGTGGTTAAGTGATTTATAAATAAAGTTACTGTGGTATGGCTTTCTTTTGGCTTTTACCTACAGTTTTTCTACAAGCCCAACTCAAAGTAAGTTGGGACTTTGTGTAAAACAAATAAAAAATGTATATATAAATGATAGTTTATAAATCCTTTTCAACCTATATTCAATTGAACACACAACAAAGACAAGATAATTAATGCTCAAATAAATATACTTCATGTGGTTTTTTTTGTTTTTGTTTTTGTTTTGTTTTTTTGCAAATATACACTCATTTTGCATTTGATGCTGCAACACGTTCCAAAAAAGTTGACACAGGAGCAACAAAGACTGGGAAAGTTGAGGAATGCTCCAAAAACACCTGTTTGGATCATGCCATATGTGAGCAGGATCACTGGAATCAGGTGAGGGTCATGATTAAATATAAGGGGAGCATCCCTGAAAGGCTCAGTTGTTCATAAGAGAGGATGGGTTGAGGTTCAACACTGAGCAAATAGTCCAACAGTTTAAGAACAACAGGCCTCATGCAAGAACAAGTTCGTATTCTTATCCTAAATTTCTCTTACTTTTGTTCGTACAAAGGGTTCGTACCAACATGTCACGTCAGATTCAACAAACTCTTCTATCTTCAGGAAAAGTGCGTAAATGAGCTGCGTAAATTCCACCTGTTCTATCCAGCTGCTCGTGCACGCGAGAGGAGATTAGCATAATTACCACCCCAAAAACACCATATAAGGCTGTGTTTCCTGCCTCAGATACAAGGAAGTGTTCATTCATGAAAATGACAGCGAAAACTAAAAATAAAAACTTTACGAGTTCGGAGATTGAAGTCGGTCTGTCAGAGATCCAGAAAAGAAAATCTGTCATTTTTAGCAGGTCAGCTGTGGAATAAAAAGAGCTGCTAAAAGTATAAACAACTGTGTTAAATCATTTTTAATTATTCAGAAGACACAGCGCTGCGCACCGTACATCCCCCCCACCACCCCGCGCGCTCCGCGCGGTCGCAGGTGGTCTCAGATGCGGGTTTAAAATAAGCATTTTAAAATGTTTTCAGAATAAGTCTGGCACTTTGGAGAAAATCCAGGACTCGCTGGAGGGATTATGTATCCCCTCTGGCCTGGGAACGTCTCAGAGTCCCCCAGGACGAGCTGGAAAGTGTCGCTGGGGAGAGCGGGGTCTTTCTGCTGCTGTCCCCGCACCTGATAGCAGATAAGCCGGCCGGACGGACAATTTATATTGTTAGTCTAAATTATTACATTTAAAATTATAACTCTAATTCAAGCAGAATAGCCTATTGTCAACATAATTATGGAGTGTGATTTATTTTCAACTCAAAATATCTTCAAACTAACGAAATATAAAATTATTAGGGAGGAAAATCCGTCTGGATAACAGCAGACTGACTGCTGGTAAAATATACGACAGGTCTGGACCACTCGTRAATTTTGTTCRTATCTGAAAAAAATCTTAGAATACGAAAACATTGGTGAATGCCACAAATTCTCCTAAATCACTCGTACGCACAACTTAAGAACAAATCTGTGTATACGAACGGTTCTTGCATGAGGCCCTTTGCAAGGAATTTAGTGATTTCATCAACTACAGTCCATAATATCATCAAAACATTCAGAGAATCTGGATGAATCTCTGCAAGTAAGCAGCATGGCTGAAAACCAACACTGTGAACTTTGACCCCTCAGGCAGCCCTGCATTGAAAACCCACATCATTCTGTAACAGATATTAACACATGGGCTCAGGAAGACCTCAGAAAACCATTGTCAGTGAACACAGTTCATCTCTATATCTACAAGTTAAAGCTCTATCATGCAAAGACAAAGCCAGATATCAACAAAACCCAGAAACACCGCCTGCTTCTCTGGACCTGAGCTCATCTGAGATGGACTGACACAAAGTGGAAAAGTGTCCTGTGGTCTGACCAGTCCACATTTCTAGTTGTTCTTGGAAATAATGGACATGGTAGGCCTGGCCCTTACGCAGCTCCGCTCAATTCTAGTTTCCCTTCACTGCTCCGACGGAGATTTCTCCCACAGACAAGGATTTCTTCAGGAGAATCTTCGTCCGGGCCTATCAGAGAACAGAACATCGATTTTCTGCGCAGTGTCTGCTAGTTACTTTAGCATACGGCAGTGGAGGAAGTGAATGAAGCCAGTCTGTGTTGATAAGGCTTCCAAATTAAATTAAATTTGTCTGACAAAGCAGCAGTTCTCGTTTACAGTCGTCTCATTTCACTCAGGATATTTCTCTCCTATCAGTAGGGTTGTTTACAGCACACGAGATTTCCAGTTAGCTTCTTAGCTTAGCCTCCTTCACAGTGGAGCTGGCACACATACGTCATGTCCAACAGATCCAACCATTTTAAACTTCAGCAGAGGCCACGCCTCCAGCAAGAATCGCTTCTCTATAGCTGAGAGTCCAGACCCTCGTATGAAGCGAAGTGAAGGACAAGGGTCTGGTTTTTACCAGGTTATGGACTTGGTGTCCTCCAGGGCAAAGAGGAAAAGGACTGTCTGGACTGTTATCAGTGCAAAGATCAAAAGCCAGCCTCTCTGGTGGTATGGGGGTGTATTAGTGCCCATGTGCTGGCATCCAAGACACGTCTTCTTCAGGGACGTCCTGCTGACTTCAGCAAGATGACGAAGACACATTCTGCACGTGTTCCAACAGCGTGGCTTCAGAATAAAAGACTGCAGGTAGACTGACCTGTCTGTAGTCGACACCTGTCTCCAGAGAAAATGTGTGGAGCTTTATGAGGAGAAGGACTGTTGAGCAACTGAAGTTGTTCATCAAACAAGAGTAAAAGAATTCTGCTACCCAACTTCCACATTTAGTGTCCTCAGTTCACAAACACGTGACTTGAGTGCTGTTAGAAGGAAAGCTGATGAACCACAGAGGTAAACTTGACCCTGTTCAGCCTTTTTAGAACGAGTTGCAGGCATCAAATTGAAAACGAAGGAATATTTGCAAAAAGCAATAATGTTTATTCATTTGAACATTAAATATTTTGTCTTTGTAGTGGATTCAAATGAACATATTGAAAAGGATTTGCAAATCATTGTAGTTTTTTTACTTGCAATAGTTTTAAAATTCAGACTTTGATGTACTACGTTTAACTCTGAGCTTTGGTTCTGCCAGTTTTAGCTCTCATCTACTGTTTTGATAGTTTATATTTAGTTTTGACAAAACAAGCCAACAGACATTAAATGTTTGAAACAGGATGATTGTGTTTTGTAGAAACTTGGTGATCAAGCTGCTCCTCAGCCCAAACCTCCCCGTCAGTTACAGGAAGTCCAACCCAAACCCCCGACGTCTGATCCTGCTTCCTCCCGCTCAACGTGCACGAAGGAAGGGGAGGGAAACGAGATGAAGAAGCTCCAGGTACCTTTAATGTTTTACTGTCTGTAGATCTGTCTGCACTGATTCATGGGAAACAGGACAGCCTTTTATCAGCTGAATTATAAGAAAACCTCTAAATTTTTATCCACCTCATTTCTGGCTCTGAGCTGTCTGCACTTGGAGTTTGTGTTTGGGATGCTTCTCAGCTACCACACCACATTTTACTACACTATCTGTAAAACTGAGTTAAAGATGTTTTTGTGTTGATTATTGCTGATTAATTGTTGATTAGTTGCTGCCATCTTGAGTTGGGTTGACTCCAGACGTACAAACAGTCACTCATGAACAGTGGTTCATGAGTGAGCTCCAGGGAGGAGCTTTGGGTAAATAGGTGGTGTTTTGTACCAGGAAGTGTTTCTGCAGCTCCCCATGGCTACCACAGGAGATTCAATGATTTCTCAAACATGAATGAGTCAGAGCAACGCTCTGGGTGTGTTTTTGATGAGGAAATGACAATTTAACATGATATAAACTCAAAAAGTCCCCCCTTTAAATAAACGTCACTGGAGATTATGGCCAGCTGTTTCACATCTCCAATCAGCACACACTTGTCTGAGGAGCCTGAAACACAAACACACACAGGGTCTGGGATCGAAACGCTAGTCTATCATGGTCTATAGTTTGGTTTGATGTAGATAAAGGAGATTGATAGGGAACAAGAAGGTTCTTCAAATATTGGGCCTCATGCAAGAACCGTTCATACGCACAGATTTGTTCTTAAGTTGTGCGTACGAGTGATTTAGGAGAATTTGTGGCATTCACCAATGTTTTCATATTCTAAGATTTTTTTTCAGATGCGAACAAAATTCACACCTGTCGTATATTTTATGAACAGTCAGTCTGCTGTTATCC